GCCACACAGCAGGGACGTGCAGGTGTCCTCAGGAGTGACACTGACCTCCAGCAGACAGGTAGCAAGAAAATGGGGCCCTCTGTCCTGTAGCTGCAAGAACTCAAGTCTGCTAAAGTCACGAGAGCTTGGGAGAGGGCCCGGAGTTCAGGACAGGACGCAGGGTTTCCTGCCCCACTGACGCACGGGCAGTGTGTGCCCTTCACGGGCCGTAAAAGAGCCACGGAGTCTCACTTCCCAAGCCTGGCCACTTTGCCTTCGGGCTCTAGTCTTTCTTCACCGCTGCGTGAGATCGCCGCACTGAGCGCTGAGCCAGCCCGCCCAGGAGGCAGGCGCGTCCTCGGCCCCTTCGCGCTGTGCCTGGGCTCCGCCGGCCAGAGCCGTCTCCGCTCTGCTTTGTAAGATGGCCAGCTGACGATCTGTGCTTGTTTTACTGGAGGGCTATGGGGTCATTCGAGAGCAGGGCGAGGTTTATAGCCTTGCATGCATACTTTCCAGCAAGTGTCGCTTCGCCCCGCTCTGAAATGATGGGCCTGTCCTCAGAAAGCGCCGTCCCGGCCTTGCCACGCGCATGCAGGCGCCCGCTGCTCTTTCCAGATGCCCGAGCCCCTTTCCAACAGGACGGCGCTCTAGAACGGAGGCGTGGTCAGTGTGGAAAGTAAAGCCGGAGGAAATGGCCCTGAAACCAGTGAACTGCAGCTCTGACACTCCGCTCCCCCACAAAATGCCACTTTGGTTAAGTCCCGAGGGATTCTGGCTCTCCGTCCCCTCCCCGCAGCGGTGGGGGTCTGCCCCGAGAGTGCCACGTGGGAGACCTGTGCCCCTCGCTCCCTTCAGAGGAGTGGGGACAGTCTCCTCGATGTTGCTTACATCTCGGCACTCCCACGCCCGCCAGGGAGCCGCGCGGAGCGCTGAGCAAATGCCGCCCGGCCGGACAGGCGCAGCGGCAGTGAGAGCTGCCGTTGCTCCCACTTCCCAGAGGAGGAGGACAAGGCTCAGAGTGAGTGGCCCAAGATCATACAGCGAGTGTCGCTAATTACCACCAATGGAACAACCTAAAACAACTTGCATTTATTTCCTTTCACTTCCCGCAGGTCAGGAGTGGAGGCAGGCTTCACTGGGTGCTCTGCTCAGGGTCCCACGAAGCTGCAGCCAAGGGCGCCTGGGCTGCATTCCCATCTTGAACTTGGGGTCCTCTCCTAAGCTTTTGTGGTTCTTGGCTGAATTGAGTTCTTACTACCTATCTGCTGGAGGTCACTGTGGCTCCTGGGGACACCTGTACTTCCCTGCCATGTGGCCTGCTGACATATGGCAGCTAGCACCTCGGTAACCCTAACTCTGACCCTAAGGTAGCATAACACAGCTGTAAGGACAGCATCCGAGCAGCCTTGCCATATAACATGCCCAAATCAAAGGAGTGGCACCCATCACCTTTGCCAGGTTCCGTGGGCTAGAAGTGCATCCCAGGCCAGGTCACTGTCCTCTGAGCCTCTTCTTCCTCGCCTGCAAAATGAGAACACGCTCCCTGGACGGTGCACAGCTGGCTCTTTCTTGCATTCAGAGGTCAGCCTAGTGTCACCTGTTCTTAGAGGCCTTCCTGACTACCTGCCAAATGCAGGTCCCCTTTTTCTACATGCTGGGTTGCTTTCTTCAAGCTAAAAAATAAAAATAAAATCCTAAACTCCCCAGCTGACTGAACAAATCCCTCCTTGGACCAAGGGGACCCCAGAGAAACCTTAAAAACTGAAATCTCAGCCATGCAAGGTGGAGAGTTCATGGACACCCTCTTTATACCCCCTCACTTGCCACCTGCCATGGGGCTTTCTTCCCAAAGGGCCACACAGAACTGGCCTCGGGAGACTTGCTCTAGGGCCGACTGCAGCCCACCTCGTGAATGCCCCTCCTCTCTTGCAGTTTTGGCACAACTGGCCGGCGTTCCTTCCTGAGGGATGGCCTCTGCTTCACCTTTCCATATCAGAGGGTCAAACACTCCACCCTCAGATCACGCCAATGCCAACATTTTTTCTACATGTGACCTATGATGGAGCATGAAGCTCAGTTGTGCATTTTCATGTTTCTCCTCTCAGAAATAGTTATGACTCCTTCTATAACTCATTAAATATATATAGTTGGTCACTCCACTCAGCATAAATTCCTGTTCCCTTTACCGTTCTCTGGAAGTGCGTGCTCTTGGCTTCTGCCCAAGGCTGTGCTTCCCAGCCCGTGAGATGGCCACAGGCTGCGACCCGCATGAGAACTGAAGCTCTCCTTACAAATGCATGAGCCTCATCATTCTCCAGTCGACAAAGCGCTTGTCCCAACTGCCAATCACGCCATTTATTTGTGTGCTTTCTGGCCAGCCTCTGCTCTAGAATGCAGCTCCATTTGGCTGGGCGGGTCTGACTTATTCACTAAGTGACCACAGAGGGGACATCCCATAAATGGTGGAGATTCTGCTCCAGGCTAAGAGTTGGCACAGAAGGAATGTGTGTCGTGTGTCAGCTATTTAATCTGCACAGCAAGAGAGATAAGCACAGGCAGGGACTGTGCAGGCCGTCGGAGAGGGGCTGGAGTTGGCGCCCAGGCAGTCTGGCTCCCGGGCTGGCCCCTCCAGGATGGACAGCCCTTCACCTTGGAGCTGTGGGGTCTAGTGACCCAGCCGGCCACATCTGAGCCGCGTTCTGTTCTCAAGACACGAGGCACTGTGAGAAGGCCTTTCTGACACAGAGCCTGAGGCTGGAAGACGAGGGACTTGTCTGCGGCCACACCCTGGTCAGTGGGGCCTCAGCCATGCCTGGGACTTGCTGTCCCCGTCCGCCAGCCCGGCTGCCTCTGTGCCCGCTCTGCCGGCCCCTGCAGCTGCCCCGGCGAGGGCCGGCGAAACCGGTGGCAACCCGGCAAACCTTATTGGTGCTTCCGGCCAGGAGTCCAAGATCCAGGTGCAGTCGGGGCTGAGCGTCCTCTGGGGGCCAGGGGAGACTCGTTCCTGGCCCTTCCCAGCTTCCGCTGGCTCCAGGCGTGCCTTGGCTGTGGCCGCATCGCTCTGCTTCCGTCCCGGCGCCGGCTCTCGCGTCTGTGTCCCAGCCTCTGTCTCCTGATTCCGCAGACACTGTCGCCAGGTTAGGGCCCAGCCTGAACTCAGGGCGACTCAGATCCTTAACTAATCACATCGCCAAAGGCGACACTTCCAAGTCTGATCTACTCCCAGGCTCTGTGTGGACATGAATTTTGGGAAGACGCTGTCCAGCCCAGTATGCCAGACCACGCACCCTTAGGCCTGTCACCCCGCACCCCACCCGCCTGCCTTGGCTCTAATTCTATCTGAGTCTGTGGGCCGGGCCACGGCACTCCTCAGCCCTGTCACCCACGCCCCACCCTGTTTGGCTCTAATCTATTGAGTCTGTGGCCGGGCCACGGCACCTCTCGTCAGCCCTGGCTCACCCCACGGCACCACGATGTCTTGGCTCTAATTCTATCTGAGTCTGTGGCCCGGGGCCACGGCCACCTCCTCAGCCCTGCTCACCCCACGCCCCAGCAGGCTGTCGTCTCATCCCAGGCCTCGTGATGCCTTGAGGGGCCTGTGCCCAGTGCTGCTGAGTTTTCATTCTTGACACACATGGCTCCCGTTTGTTCTCCTTTTCTTGAGAAGCCCTGCTGGGAGCTGCCCTGGGCAGGACCAAGCGCTGCTGACTTCATCCACAAACACCTGACTCTGGGTCTTCTGCCTTTTGCTTTAGTTCTGTCGGTTCTCACGCGCATCACCCCTACGCACCTCTCTCTGCGCACAGTGGGCGTTTCTCGGCCTTGGCAACAGAGGCCCACTTCCTTAATGCTTGTCAACACTCGCAGGTTTGAAAAGTCACAATGAAGATGAAAATTTAAATACATAGATGAGCGTTTGTTTCATCCTCAAGCCCATAGACACTGCATTGCATTATTACAAATCGCCGCCGTGTTTTCAGGTAGAATTAACATTTGACAAACACAGGAGCAATTGCTCTTTATTTTGAAGAAAGCTCTCATTAGTCTCAGTAGATTTGACATTATAAACAAGAGAAAGTCTATGCCTTTGTAAAATCTGTTTTTAATACAGAGCTTCAGCACTTGTGCACACGCTGATAATAAGTAAACTGGGCTGACACGGGACTCCCCTCACTGCCCTTTCTCGGTCCTGGGGCCCAGTGACACGTGTGCCTGCTGGGCCAAGCGCTGTGCCAGGGACAGGTGTGCAAAGACAAGCAATCAAAGCCCAGCTTTGAACAAGCACCGCTCGGAACTGGGAGGCACTTTGCTATGATGGCGATGTACAGCAGAACTTTCCAGAAACTCCCCAGCCCAGATTTTGCTGCATGTGGTTCACTGTGTTATCCTAAAAAGAAATCAGCAAACTTTCTCCATAAAGGGCCAGATAATAAATACTTTAGGCTGGGAGGACCACATTAGTTTTTGTTGTGTTAATATATTCCTTTTTGTTTGTGTTTGTGTGTCTGTGTTGTTTTGTTTTTCTAACCCTTTAAACATGTGAGAGTGAGTCTCGCTCACAGGCCACACACAAACAGGCCTGGGGCTGGATTTGGCCCAGGGCTATAGTTTGCCTGTCCCTGAAATGGACAAGTTGTGCTCATTGGCCGCCCCAACACGCACGCGGAGCCCTGCTGGGAGGCTGGACCACCTGGCGAGCAGGGCGATGCCTCCACCTGCTGGCGCAGATCATGTGCTCGATGGGCACGTGCGACCACCGTAGTTGGAGCTGAGAGGCCAGCAAGTAAGAGTATTTAGGAAAAAATATGTTCAGACAATCTGCTTGCCATTCCAGGAAGGAGAAGAGGAAGCGAGAACACAGATGCTCCGTGCCGGCACTGATCGCTGTCCCCCTCCCTGAGCGCGCAGCCAGGGAGCCCCGAGCACCCTGGGTGTGGCCAGCATGCCCTGCGTGTGTGCCGTGGGTGCGCCTCTCCCGGGGCTGGGTAGCACATGGCCAGCTTCTCTGTTTTCCTTTGCAGAGACATCAAACCAGACAACATCCTGCTGGACGAGCACGGTGAGTGTGTCATGCATGTTTTATGTGGACTCTTGCAGCAGGAAGTCTGAGGCACTGGGAAGTTGGGGGCTCTGGGTGATTTGGGTTTTAGGGTTGACTACATCCTTCCTCCTCCTCAATGAACTTTGAACCATGGCTATGTCTGGCTTCTCCAGATTTCGTTCAGGTACACGTGGATCCCCTGGGTATCTTCCTGAGCTGATGTAGCAGGTCTGACTTGAGGACTAAGATGCCACCTTTCTAAGGGATCTCACATGGCCAACGCTGCTGGTCCATGGACCACACTTTGAGCGGGAGGCCCGAGTCAATGGCTCTCTGACGTTGGCCTTATCAGACTCCATCCTGCTTCAGCGAGCTTGGGCCTCTGTCTTTGGGATCGGCATCCAGGGATGAGATGCCCAGCCAAGTTTAAGGATCGTGAGTCTAGGCGTAGCCCAAGAATGCTCAGTGGCCTTGGCAAACAATTGCAGTTGATGCCAACAGCAGTCTTGCAGCCTTAAAAACAAATTCCCTGGTGTTGCTTTAGGGGCCTGTCCCTCAAGGCCTTTTGGGGGCTGCGCTCGAGCGAGCAGGTATTGATTTTTCTGAAGTGCTGCTGAGGCATGCAGGAATGAATCACTCTTCTACTTCTGCACAGCTCCCTCACCCCACCCTCCCATCCCTGCAGGCCGAGGTCATTGCTGTCTCACAGCCCCTCTAGAACCTTCTGTGAGCTGCCAGTGTGGCTCAGGGTGCCCCAGCTCAGAGCATGCATCCCTGTGTACGAGCAGTGGGTGAGACATCTGAACCTCTGCGTCACACGCTGACACCAGGCTCAGCACTTCGGCGCAGTGAGGCTCAAACCACTGTGACCCTGTACACAGGGGCAGCTGCTGCCTCCAGCTGCAGGTCACCTGACGGGGCTGGGATCCACATGGGGCTGAAGAGGAAGCGAAACCGAGGTCCCCTGTGTACCTAAAGTCAGGGTCCGCAGATGCAGAGCTTGGCTGAGTCCCCCAGCCAGCCACATGTCCTGGGCAAGGGCTGCGCCTCTGAGCCCGGCCCCCCCTGCAGAGCACAGGCGCTACCAGCCGCCTCATAGGGGGGAAGGTCGGGCAAGACCGCAGAGGCCGCCACCCGTCACAGCACGGATGCCCGTGCTCAGGAAGGGCAGTAGCGCCTCTTGCTGTCCGCGTCCTCCATCAGGACGGACACAGCGCAGTCAGATCTCCGGAGCAGGGGAGCAGAGCCTGGGAAGGCTCTGCAGGCTGTCCAGGAAGCAGGGGTGTGGAGGGCTGGGCTCTGGGCAGGGTCCTCAGGCCTGTCCGCTCCATGGTCCGCCCTCAGTTCTCACGCCCGTGGCCAGAGCGCTCCCGAGGTGCCACACACGTGGGAGGCCGAGCCACACAGCCTCCCCTGTTTCCTCCTTCCCGTGCTCCTGTGTCTGTCCGCCTGCTCCCTCTCTGCACCCAGCCTCAACTGCACCTCGGCCTTTCCTCGCCCACTTTCCTTCCAGATCCCATCCTGACCCTCTGAGCTCCCCATCTGCCTATCCCCCTCACATGCTGGCTTGCACTGTGTCCCAACCCTGCCTTCCGGCTTTGCAGCACCCTGCACCCTTGCCAAGTGCCCCTGCGCCCAGCCTCCCCTGACGCCCATCAAGGCGTATCCACGAGGTGTGTTGAGTGTACTCTTTCATACTAAGAGGTGAGTGGCTGATATTCCATCTTTTCAGGCAGTGCAGACAAGAATTCAGGAGCAGGGAACTTTCTCACAAAAGGCAACTCTACTCTCCAGGGAGGGGAGGGAAGAGAGGCATCTATGCCCATGGCCCCCTACCTGCTTTGGCAACATGAGGAGAAGGCTGGTGGGTTTTTCTAGCAGAGCCGGAACCTGTGGCCCCTCGCGTTCATCCTGGAGCACCTGCCCCGCGCGGGCTCTGCGAACAGGGCGATGAAGGCAGCCGACGTGGTCTCCCACCTGGTCAGGGAGAGGTCGGGGGCTGGGGACGGGAGACCTGCGGGCGGATGGCGGGCGGCGTCCCAGAGGCAGCGGCGTGGGCGTCCTGAGGCTGGCGAGGCTCGGGCAGAGGCCTGGGTGGCGCGGGGGGGGGGACTCGTGCCCGCGGAGGGCGGGGGGGGGAAGGGGGGTGCCCGCGGAGGGCGGGGGGGAGGGGGATGCCCGCGGAGGCGGGGGAGGGGGGTGCCGCGAGGCGGGGGACTCGGTGCCTTGGAGGCCGGGGGGGAGGAGTCCCGCGGAGGGCGGGGTGGAAGGGGGTGCCCGCGAGCGGGTGGGAAGGGGGGTCGGAGGGCGCGCCAGGGATAAGGGGTGCCCGCGAGGGTGGGGGAGAAAAGGGGTGCCCGCGGACGGGCGCGGGAAGGGTGGTGCCCGTAGGGTGGGGAGAAGGGGGGTGCCGGGAGGGCGGGGGCAGGGTGCCCGCGGAGGGCGGGTGGGAAGCGGGTGCCCGGAGGGCGCGGGGGCGAAGGGGGGCCACGAGGGAGGGAGGGGGTGCCGCGAGGCGGGGTGGAAGGGGGTGCCCTCAGAGGCAATGGGGGGAAGGGGGGTGCCCGCGGAGGGCGGAGAGGGGTGCCGCGGAGGGCGGGGAGGAAGGGGGTGCCGCGGAGGCGGGGGTGGGAAGGGGGGTGCCCGCGGAGGGCGGGGGGGAAGAGGGGTGCCCGCGGAGGGCGGGGAGGAAGGGGCTGCCCTCCGTGGGCCCTGCGGGGCGCCACGTCGCCGACGAGCTGTCTGGGGGTCTCGCCTCCGACGGCGCCGGTGCTTCCTGGAGAACGAGGCGCTTGGCCGGTGTTTCCCGCGCCGAGACGGGGCTGAATAGCCACTCTGACTTTTCATTCCTGCCCTTCAAGGTCAGCCGGCGACGCGGAGCCCCGGAGTCTCCCGGCTTCTCCGCACGCGCCCCTTCGGGGTGGGCGCGCGTCTCGGGGCACCCGAGTGGGGGTCCGGGCGGCGAAGGCGGAAGGCCCGCATGGAGGCGAGGCAGGGCTGGAGGAGGCCAGCGTCTCAGGGGCGCGCAAGGGCCGAGTGCGTCTCGGCCGCGGGGCACTGGAGACGAGAGGGAGGGCTGTGTCCATTTCCGGTCCGCAGGGCAGAGCCGGGCCACGAGACCACAAGACTGGACGGTGTGCGAGGAACTTGCGGTTAGCGCAGAGCTGCGGGCGGGCGGGCGTGGGGCCGCCCGTCAGTGTGGCTCTGGCCGTCTGTGTGCCTTAACTCCCTGGCGCCGACGGCAGCCCTCCGAGACGGCATTCCATTATCATCACCCCATTTTATCGATGAGGAGACTGAGGCCCAGGGCGATCAAGTTATGTGCCCAAGGTCACGTAGCTAGTCCCAGCAAAGCTGAGAGCCAGGCCAAGGCAGTGCGACTCAGAGCGTGTGCGCCCAGCTACTCCGCCAGCCGCCCTCTGCGACAGGACTGCGATGCCCCGGGGGCACCGTTCCAGCCACCGGGAGAGGCCTGGGAAGCCCCAGAGGCAGGTGGAGGGTGTGCCCAGAGCAGTGCCTGGGTGGGGGCCCTGTGCACACCGCAGGCCTGGCCGGGTGGCTCAGCTTCACCCGCAAGCACCCCGAGAGGATTGCAGTAAGCGCCTCGCTGCTGCCTCTCGCCTAGGCCCGCGCACAGCGGCCCTGGCCGAGCGCTCGCTCGCACGTTGGTGGGGCCGAGCAGCCTGAGCTGGGAGGCTTGACAAGTGAAACTGCTGGTGCTTTTTTTGTGCACTGTGGCTGATCATGTCAGGCACGCCTCTCCCACGGGCAGTCCCATGGGCTTCTCCGCAGGTCTCAGGAGTCTCCCATATCTTGGAGGTGCCCCCCAAGCCCCCCAAAGTGAGTTTTGCATATGCCATCTGCCTAGGTATTTACATTCCACACCCCAAATACCACTCTCAGATTTGATGAAAATATAATCAGCTGTCCATACACGATGTGATGACAGACAAATAGAAATGTGATTGCATTACATCTCTTAACCATGGCTCTCAGACTGGTCTCTTTTATGTACCCAATTCCCCAGAGGGCAAGCACTGACCATTAAGATGTTTCCTCCCTCCCTACCCCTTCCCTCCTTCTTCTTCTTCTCCCTTCCTTGTCACGTTTCTTGAACACCCATGCCGTAGCTGTACCCAGCCTACCAGGTACCGTCTGCTGCCATCACTTCAGGCTGGATGGCGTGTGGTCTCAACCTTCCAGCTCCTACCCGCCAAATTCACCCGCACAGCGCCAAGGGCCCTCTGACAACAGCAGACAAGCAGCAGAAGAGGCAGCATCCTCTGGGCGAGAGCACCCGCTTTGCTCACCCCCCTCCCACCCCAGCCCACCCATACTTCCCCGACAGAGGGGCTACACCAGCCTGTCTCATTCACGTACCAGGAGCTTTCATTCTGTGCGTCGATGTCTCTAAACTTTAATCCCTGCAATTTTTATCTCATCTCTCAACATAAATATCCTTATTTACAAATAATATGCATGTGTTACCAAAGGAATTCACGTTCTAACACATGCACACAAAATAGACGTTTAAAAAGTATCAGATAGGCCGGGCGCGGTGGCTCACGCCTGTAATCCTAGCACTTTGGGAGGCCGAGGCGGGCGGATCGCTCAAGGTCAGGAGTTCGAAACCAGCCTGAGCGAGACCCCATCTCTACCAAAAATAGAAAGAAATTAATTGACCAACTAAAAATATATATACAAAAAATTAGCCGGGCATGGTGGCGCATGCCTGTAGTCCCAGCTACTCGGGAGGCTGAGGCAGTAGGATCGCTTGAGCCCAGGAGATTGAGGTTGCTGTGAGCCAGGCTGATGCCACGGCACTCACTCTAGCCTGGGCAACAAAGTGAGACTCTGTCTCAAAAAAAAAAAAAAAAAAAAAAAGTATCAGATAGAATATTATAAACAGAAGTTCAAATATTTTCTGCCTGTACCCCCCGGCAGACTACAGTGTTGAAAAGCCAGCTCCCTGCAGCTCTCGCCAACTGGAGTCCTGTGTCTGTGTCTACAGGACACGCTCACGTGACGGACTTCAACGTGGCGGCGGTGGTGACGGGAGCAGAGCGGGCGTCCTCCTTGGCGGGCACCAAGCCCTACATGGGTGAGTGTTCCAGCCCCTCCCCTGCTGCAGCCAGACCCGTGCCTGAGACTCGGTGTCCCTCTCCCGTGGCATCTGCCACCCGGTCACACAGCCTCCCCGCCCCACACCAGGGTCCACCGGTCCCCAGTGTGTGCCGGGCGCCCACAAAGCTCGGGCCTTCTCCAGACCACGCCCCTGCTGGGAGCACCTTCCCTCCCCGGGTCTCGCGAGAACGCCTGCCCAGCCAGAAAGCCTGGGCTTGGGCTTGGGATGGGGCAAATAAAGCAAGAGTTTTCTTTCCCACTGAAGCCCAGAGTGTAGCCAGAACCTAGCGCGGTCCTGGTCACTCTGGGTCTGTGTTCTCAGTCACACAGGGCGCTTCCACGGTGATGGTTTTCCTCGGGAATTTCTGTGGAGTCTCGTCATTTCCAGTAGACACGCCACTCTGCAGCTTCCGATTTCTTCGTCGAGATGCCCGCTTTCTGGATGTTGGGCCTTCTGGGCCAAGCCTCAGTGTTTGTCACTTTCTCTCAGATCTTTATCACCTCTCCCTTCACTTCTTTAAAAATGTCCTCATCGTCATCTTTCTTTCCCTTAAGGCGACATCTGTTGTACTTATTTGCTTTGTGTGTTTTCCAGTAAAGTCTTCATTTCTGAAGTAATTTTCTGTTTATAATTTTTTCCTGAGCTCTCTAACCTGATTTCTGAAATTTTTATTCTAAGTTATGTTGTTCTTTTATGTGTTGTACAATGTTCTTAATGTCTTTATTCATTATTAATTCTGAATGCCTACACTGTCTGTCAGTTCTGTGTAACAAAGCATGTCAAAAGCTTAGTGGCCGAGACAGCGGCAGGGCACTGTCCCCCACAGTCCTGTGGGCTGGCAGGTGGCTCTTCTGCCGGCTTGGGCTGGCCCGGAGGCAGCTGCTTCCAGCTGGTAGGTCAGCTGGGCTGGCTCAGCTGGCACCGCTGGGATGGACAGGCCTCTCTCTGCGTGGTCTTCCATCAACACGGGCTGGAGTGAGCCATAGCTTCACACCGTTTCAAGAGGGGACAGCCAGCCCCGTGCTCGCCCAGAGTCTGCCTGCTCGCGCTCCTGGTGTCCACTCAGCCCGGCAAGCCACAGGGCCACCGCGGGGAGGGAGCCACATGCAGCACGGACACCAGAGGGCCATTCAGGAAACAGCTCCCCACGGTGTCTCTTAACTGTCAACACAGTAGGTTGCAGTGTTGGCCTGTTTTATTGGCGCATCTCTCTGGAGTGTTTCCACTGCCGCCGTGGTGTTCTGCTCTTTGTCTCCTATGTCTTGCAACACCTTTGTGTGGAAGTTGACTTTGACATGTTTGTGTTGCTCATTTTTACAAGCAATTTGTTTTCCTGAGCTTCTAGAGGACGGTGTGGTTCGGGACAGCTTTCCTAACCGAGCAGACCTTTCTCCACGGCTGTTTGGGGAAGTGTGGAGCGCGGAGGCAGCCGGCTCTCCGAGGCTCCTGGTCTGCTCTCCCGCACCTGCCGGGGCCTTCTCCTTCCTTCGTCTCTGCGCCCCGTCCTGCTCCCTTTCGCTTCTCCTCCACCCGGTTTTCTCCGAGCTCTTTCCGGGCAGGAGCGGTGGCCAGATGGATGGAAGGGTTTCCCTGTCCCAGCCTGCTCTGCCTCCTCCAGAGCTGGGCGGGGCCTCCGCGCCCGTGGCCACCCACCGAGGGGGGCAGACCCGCAGGGCAGACCCGCGGGGCCACGTTTCCAGGCTGGTCAGCCGCGCCCCGTGAACGGCTGCCGGCCGTTTGGGAGATCTTTGCTCTCTGGTCACAAGATGCTGCCGTGTTGCTTTTCCTGCTTCTTCCTGGATAAAAATCACTGCCGCAGAGGTCTTGTCCCTGGAGTGCCCACCCACTTGCATTTGGGGTGAGGGGACAACTTAGTTTTGTAGTAAATGTGCCTGTGGGCTTTTGGTTTAGCTATCTCTCTACTGTTTTTTCTGTGCAGATTTGTGGAGATTCAAATCTATGCCATCATCTCCCAGAATCCACCATTTATGTCATTAACCTTTAATTTATTAAATGAATTAAATAAATGAAGCTTGGCAATAAATACCTGTGATGGAAAAAACAACAGACAAGCTGCTTCCGGGCAGTGAATCTGGGCCAGGCGTGCGCCGGGCGCCTCCACCCACACCCCCCCCTGCCCGCAGGTGTGGGCGAGCCACGCTTCTTCCTTCCATTAGAGCTAAGGGAATGGGGCTCAGAGAGGTACTGACTTAGAGAGGTTGCTCGCTGAGCTGACGTTGGTGACAGCCAGACCCAGGTCAGTGTGACTCCAAAACCCAAGGCCTGAAGTACTTCTGGCCTGGCCTCCGGGACAGGGATGGCCCTTTGGCAAAAATATTAATACCAGCAGGTGCACATACAAGTGAGTGTGTTCACTTGAAAATAGTCCCCGTGAGAGGCTGGGCAAAGTCCCACGAGGCTTCTGTTTGTTAACCTTTGCTAAAAACCTTTGCGGAACAGCCAGAGCTAGGGCGAGTGTGACCGAGGAGGGCACTGCCTGGAGACTCAGGAGAGACCCGGCGGCGGCAGCCGGGGCAGGGGACGGGGAGTGGCGGAGGAGGCGGGCAGGCCCCGGGCCGTGCGCGGCCGAGCGTGCCGCGCGGTGTCGTGGGCGCAGCCAGCGCAGGGCGGCGGGAGGCGGAGCGCGAGCTTGGGCAGGAGGTGTGCGTGGGGCTCAGACCGCGGGGCGCTGCCGGCGCTGGGGGCAGCAAGCGGGCGGGCGGCAGGCCCAGGACGAGGGGCCGGCCTCAGGGCGGTGGTGCCAGCAGGGAGGAGGGCGGCAGACATCCCTGAGGGAAGGCCCGCGGAGCGCCCAAGTGGAGCTGGCGCCGAGAGCCTGTGGATCAGGTCCCGCTGCCTGCAGAATGTCTCCAAAAAGCAAATCTATCTCAAGGAATGGGGATCCTGGGGAAATCCAAGGCAGTTTTATGCCAGCTTTGCCCATCCACCCTGTTCTTGACGCCGTGCCTGCCAGCCTGCCGGGCACCGCCTGGGAGACTGCGCCGCACCAGGCAGCTCTGTCCCAGCTCTGCAGGAAGAGCAGCGACACCGCTGGCCCCTCTCCACGGCAGCCACCTTCAAAAGGGACAAGACCGCTGACGCGGATGGGGACCCTACTGCCTGCCTGTCTTCGCATCCCATCCTCAGAGATTCGTGAGAGGTTTTGACGTCTCTTTTGTTTTATGTACGAGGAACTTGAGGTCCAGAGAGGTTAGTAATGCCACCCAGGGTCACACAGCTGGTATGTGAAGGAGCCAGAATTTGAAGCCAAGTCTCTTTGGAGCTGAAGTCCATGCTTTCACCACTGGGCCAAGCTGCTTTCTGACACTGAGCTCCTGTACCGGAAAGCCGTATTTCTCAGACCAAGAGATCCGTCTGCTGTCTCAGCTGCACGTCACAGTCAGTCTCTGGTGTCCTTCAACTTAAAGACATTTCAGGCCTGAATTAGTGAACAGATGTGCAGGAGAGATGTTTACGAGCTGTAGAGGACACCGCTGATTTTCCCAGTAGATGTGTTTTCACCGATTACCTATTACTGTGGGAGCCGTACCAGCATGGGAGTTCAGGGGGAAGGTGGGTTAAGGGAGCTTTTCAACAGAGCCAAACCCCGCCGCTCCCAGGGCTGTGAACTCCTAATGCCAAGTGGCAGGTTTGTTGATTCCATTCACTTGAGCTATTCAGTTCAAGGGCCCAATAAAAGTTCCCAGAAGGTTCCAAACACGGATTCAGGAAATGGTCTGATGAGTAAGCTCCCAAAGGTGGCTCACAAAGGATGATCCCAGAAGAAAGATTTGCATAGAACTGAATTTTCATTAATTAAAAGAGCAGATGGAATTCACAATTGGAGGGGGAAAATCTCTCTAAAATGTGCCAGATTAGAGTCGGAAATGTTCCATCGGCCACCCCCGTCTTCAGAGGGTATCAATTTGAGGTGAAACGAAGGGTATGGCGTTGGTCCGCAAACATTTACAGGGCGTCTGGGAGGCGCAGGGCTCAGGCTTGGGCACTGGGGCTGCAGCGGGGAATGAAGCCCTGTGCCCAGGAGCTCAGCACCGGGCGGGCAGACCCCGCTGAGGTGGGTGGCAGCGTAGCTGCAGGAAGGGGTAGGTGCTGGCATGAAGAGAGGAAGATGAACTCTCTTTGGACAGTTTTGAGACAGACTCCTGGAGAAGGGGGCAGTCTGAGTTAGACTTCCAGGGTGAGCTCTGTTTGGTAACAACAGGGAGAGGACATGCAGGCAGAGGGAGTAGCTGATATGTTGTTGTCATTGTTATCATTGTTATTGATTAGTGATTATTTGGTATATGCTAAGCATTGGGACCCCAAAGCCAAATCTGACATTCCCCTGCCTATGGACTCACAGACAAGTGGGGGAAAGAGACTCTAACCAAGTGCCAATTCGTCACAGGGCCAGGCAGGCCAGGGGAGAGTAGGTGCACCAGGGAGGAGCGGCTGGAGCACGGCCGGCACTCCCAGAGCTCAGCCCTGCTCCCCAGGGACGCCACAGTGGCACCCAGGTGGTGCCAGGGCCTCTGCGTGGTCCCGGGCACTCCCCGCAGAAATGATAGAGGCTAAGGACAGTGAAGTTTGCTGCTCACAAACGTCCTAGAGAGAGTGGCAGAGCCAGCACTCAGGGCAGCACGGCTGCACTGCCTCGCTTTCTTTTCTGAGAGCCCTTCACTCAGCAGAGATTTACCGAGCACCTTCTGTGTCCTAGGTAGTGTTCTGTGAGCTGAAATGCGTGTATGAACGAAACCGTGTTCCTGCCCTCATTGCTTTGTGAGGAAAAGTCACTAAAAATCACCAAACTGACAAATATGTGGTTTGAGATGCTTATTTTTGATGAATAACTTTCATATTTAAAATGTATTCTTTTAGTGTATAGCTCTATGAATTCAGGCAAATACAGTCTTATAAACACCACCACAGTAAAAGACAGAACAGTTACTTCACCACCTCCCCAAAATTCCCTCCTT